TGAGACTGGGAGCCAGGGTAGACTGAAAAGGGGAATAGAGAAGGAGGGGGACAGGATGGGTTGTCATGAGAAGGGCAGCAGGAAGCATAAGGCAAATGAAAGCTGCAGCAGAAGTGGGGGAGAGGCAGGATGTCTAGAGAGAAACAGGGTTTGAAATAAAGGAGTGGGCTGATAGGCAGAGTGGGCATGGCTTAGAGTCATACGTGAAGTTTAGCTAAGGGGCCAATGTATGTGGAAGAGTGGAGATCATGTGGGAAAAGAAGGCGGCAGCAGTTGTGGATATGGATGGATATAGTTAGATTCTTAGCTACCAAGTCCTAGCTATGGAAGCAGTTTTGGAGTTGCTATACAGTGGGCCTTAGCAAGGGCCAAAAGCAATTCAATGGGTTTTTACAGTGGGGCTTGAGAAGTCTCTGACAGGATGCCTAGAGAGGATAAGTCTAAGATGTGACTGGAGAGAATGGAAATCTGCAACCTGGAGATTTCCTAGGCATAAGGTTTGGGAGGGTTGGGAGCAGTGGGTGAGTGAACAGCAGGAGAAGGTGGCATTAACATTTCTTGAGGAAGAATAGCAGAAAGAGTGTGCAGAGAACATGAACAGATTGAAGGAAAAGCAATGCTGCTACTGTTGTTCCTAGCCTCTTGGGCAACCATGTGCAAGTACTCTAGATGAAGCTGGCTTTGCTGCAGGCTTTACAGTTAATGCCATTTTAATTTATGACATGTCACTAATGGAGAAAGATTTAACATGTATTTATTCAATGTCACTAAAAATACTCCAGCAGTTGCAGGGGGAAGAGGATAGCGCTGATCAATGGGGGAGGGTGGGGAGGACCTGCACTTTCATAAGGACAAATGTGATGCTTACAAGTGGGATTTGCAAATGCTCTCTCCCACTAACTGCTGGGTATCCTCCGCCATGAAAACCTGCTGTCAAGTGTCATGTCAGATCAGGCAGACTGGGCAGAGGCTGAGAGAGACCCTTATCCTAAGTGCAGCCTGATGGACACACAGGAATTTCACTGCTATGGCATCGCCTGAACCTGGCAGGTTCTCGCTAGAAGCAACAGCTCTTTGCCTGATAATGAAGGAAAGGGTTAATCTGATTTCAGTCCAGGTGAGAATGTTCAGTACAGGAGTCCCTTTGTCACTGGTAACACTGTGTTAGCCATGAGCAATCATCTGGCAGGTTTTAATCTGTCACAAAGCCTGCAGAAAGTGTGGGGCAGTAGGTCAGCTGTGGGGACAGATGGGTGCATGATTTTCTTCCTCCTTTTTCCTGCAAAGCCAGGTCTCTGGTTCCTGTCCTGTGCTTCTCCCTTGTCTCTACATGGGGAAGTTTGTGTATACAGCAAGGAGTGGCAGAGTGCCTTCTCTCTTCTTGCCCCGGAGCTGGATGCAGCCTTGATGTACAGATCTGTCCCTACTTCCATACTGGAAGGTAGACAGCAAACTGGGTAGGGGATCATGGCTGCCTGCGCTCCCTTAGTAAACCGGCCTGCCTTCCCTGGAATAACCAAAAGAGGATATAATGCTTCCTGGCCAAGAGTGACCGTGATGTCCTGACTCCTCCAACATAACTGGGCTATAAAGTAATAGAAGGCTTCTTGCTCACAGTATGCAGCTCTGTCCTTATGCTTGCTAATTAGAGATGGACTCACATAAAATGCTAAGATTCAAGCCTCTGTGGGCACCAAGGGAACTCGGATCCAGATTAGACGGTGCTTGGATGCTTTGGTGATTGGCACCTCAGAAATTACAGAGATAGAGCACAGTGGAAATAGATGAGACTTTGCAGCTTTGGCTCTTCTCTGCTAGTTATAATTATTTAAGATGATGTTTCACATCATATTCAAGCTCCTGTGCAGATAGCAGCAGCAGAGAACAAGAGCTCTGAGCCACCTAGGAGAGGATTATGTGGCTATGACAATGTTCAAACCCACTGGGCTCTGCCATGCTGCATTATTTAAGCCCAGTAACCAAATTTAGTAACCAACCCCTGAGGCACTGAGAGAAAAACACAGCTTCCAGAGCTCCTTCCCTGCAGCCCTGTCGCTCCCTCCCTTAAAGGAGCCACTGCTTTTCTCTTCCTCTCTCAGCTCTACCAGCCAGGCCTGACCTACCACAGTGCTCCCACAGGAACAGTGAAGTCCTTTGCATAGGCATAACGTGTGACCCAGGTAGAAGCCATCCCACACAGTGTGAAGCCATGGGAGTCGGGTGCAGTTACCACACATGGAAAACAAGAGGTGTCCCAGCTCCAGCCCTTCAGGATGCAGGAACCTGAGGTTGCATCTGTGCAGTGAGGCGTGAGCTCAGGTATAGACAGACCAACCCTACACCCAGCACAAAGCCTGTCTGGAGGACTGGCTGCTTCCCAGCTTTAGCTCCGTACTAGATATCCATGTGTGTTCAGGCCGGACCTGGCTCTCAGCTCTGCAGCTCCAGCTAAATCTGTGCATGGATGTGCCTGCTGGTGAAGTGTGTGGACAAAAGCAGTTCTGGACATACGGACAGGCTTAAACTTGTGCTTGGGTGAAGATCTCTCCTTGCCTCCCCTGCCCACCAAGTGCTGCAGCTGGAGGAAAGAAATGGACTCAGCTCTAGCTCTCACCAGCTCATGCCCTCCCTCATTGGCAGAGCTCTGTCACTGCCCCACCATGTCACAGCGCCAAACAATGGCACTTGTTAACCAGTTTTTACAAGGAATAAGACAAGGGGAGCCTGGCAGGCTTGGGCAGAGCCTTTTCACCAGCACCTCAGACCGTTGGGTCATTTTGCTTGTGTTCAGTGAGAAGGTGCTATGCCACAGCAGGCCCTTGTCTCACCAGTAAGATGGGAGAGCCCAAGTCCATGTATGTGGCCAAGCTCTCTGTAGCAATCTATGGGAAAGAGAGGTTGGGAAGAGTGAATATTTAACCAGCACTGTGTCAAATGCAAACATACGTCCACTGTGGTGTTTGTCATCACCGGGCACTGATCTTATACACACGTTTAATGCAACGCAGCTTACCTCCCTGCTGGTTCCGGCCGAGCTGGCTTGAGAGACCCAGAATTTGCCTCTGCATGTGAAGAGGTCATTTCAGTAGAGCCCAAGGTCAGCCCCAGGGAGCCATGAAATAGTGCTGAGACCTGCGGGTACTGTGGGTGACTCCCACCACCACCGCTATTAACAGCAAGGTGTGTCCGCTCCACAGCAGCGATCGGACGCCACAGCCTCTTAAAGCTGTCTGCAGTCTCTCCCATCCCTCCCTGGCCTCCTGCCCAGCACCCCGGAGGCAGCGAGTCGGAGCCTGGTGTTTACAAACACAGCCTTTCAAACCCTGCCTGGAATGAGGAAAAGGAGCAAGCCCAGCTGAAGGGCCCTGGGAGGAGCACATCTCATAGGAGCTCCTTGGGAACATCTTCCCGAGCCACCTCTCTTGACCTAGATGAGCTGCCAGAACAAGGAACAACGAGAGGCCAGCAGCAAGGTGGCTCCTGCCAGACTGGTCTTGCTCCAGCTGGACCTCTGGTGGCTACCAGGCCAGGGAGCGAGACTGATCATAAAGGCGAGCTCTGCAAGGAAAGAAAGACTTTGGGATGGCATGGATGGTATCAGCTAGTTCACAGGCCAAAACATCCCTGCCATCTTGTGCCGTTCTCAGAATACAAACTGTGGGTATTCAGGATTGACCGAGCTTCTAAATCCTGTGGTGCTGCTGTTTCTGCAATACCCTGCCTGACCAAACTCAGAGATGGGTTATTTATCACATACCTTGAATGGCACATACGGCCTATTGCACCAGTGCCCCTGAGCCATCCCTATGCCACAGCCATTTTGTCTGCAGACCCCAGGCTCCTTCCCAGTACTTGTATTGTTGTGGTGGCCACCAGAGCCGATACCAGCCTCTGGAGGATGATCCCGGCAAGCAGGCAACGCTCGGCAACAACTGAATTCTTGTCCCTCCCTGAGCCCTCATGCCCAGCCAGCTCTTTCCCTGCACACAGACACCCACCGCAGTGCTGCGGGTGGCAGCGAGGATGGCGGCAGTGGCTGTCATGTGGGCCTCGGCCCTTGGACATCTGTCCTCATCCAACGCACGGCACCCAACGCCTTGATTCAGCTGCAAGCTCTTTCGTGGGCCGTGGTTTGGCCTGCGAGAGGACAGCCGCCCAGCTCTGCAGGCTGCCGTGCCCTCCTGGCTGCTGCAAAGCAAACAGCAAAGCCTGCAAATGTGCAACGCTAGCGTGGGTCCCGCGCTTGGGAAGGGATGTGGCTCCTCAGCCTTCTCTAGGGACACACATGGAAACCGAGCTGCCGGGATAAAAATACCGGTCCTGGTGAGAGCACAGCAGCTGTGACTAACATCAATCCATTTGGCAAAGGACTTCCCGCTCTCCGCCTCTCCCCTTCTCCGGGAACCTCGCAAAGGGCAGAACTGGAATCCCCGTCTGGGGAAGGGGAGGATGAGGAACACGCAGACGCCCAGCCTGGGATTCCCTACAGCTATCGCTGGTTGCAGGCAGACGAGAGCCATGTGCAGCAATCTCACAGGAAGGGAAAGGCGTGAGACTGTTTGTGTGCAATATATACAGGCGGGCTGGGTGAGGGCAGCCCAGGCCTCTGCTCTCTGCATGCAGAAGGAAGGCCTGGGTTTCACCAGCAGCCTGCCGCCATCCTGCCTGCTCGCTTGTGCTAGCGGGAATGCATCTGCAGCAGCAAACATGCAGGCAGAGGAGGTTTTCAGGATGGGCTGCTTGGCCGGGAGGGAAGGGGTGAGTGGGAGTGGAGGGGATAAACCTGTGATGCTCCTCAGTTGCGGTGCAGAGGCAGGCCTCAGATTTCCCACCCAGTAGAAACCTACCCCAGTAGAACTCTTATCAGCGCCCAGCCCCACAGTCACGCAGGGAAAGTGCCACCGCTGCTGGGTGCACAGGGCCCTTCCTGGTACTGCAGGCTCTGTTCTGCCTCAGACTTCCTCAGGGCTGACCCACCCGGTGGCAGCCAAAAACCACAGGAGATACATGGATGCAGCAGAACCAGACAGACATGAGCTGCGTTCTGGCCAGGCAGGGTGAAGCAGTTCCCTGGGAGAGAAATTACTGGGGGCATAGAAACGTGCTGATTGCCCTTACACAGAAGCAGGCTCAGGAGAGAAACCCACCGTAGAGCAGTTGAGCTCTGTTCTGTCTTCTCCACACCACAAAGCACGTGCCGCTCACGCAGTACCCTTCTCATCCCATGACTGCACAAGCCATGGCCCATCATTAACAGCCTTCCTTCCCAGACAGACCATCCTCACAACAACAGTAACCTCTCTGAGTGGAACAGCACTTTCAAAGCAGTGTGCCCTGCAAGCCATGGTCCTGAGATTGTTTGCATCGAAGTCCAAAAGATCAGCCTTTTTGATCATTCCCAGGCAGGCAATAACTAACCTCTGGAAGCTGCCTGTTTACGAGACACGGAGAGAAAATGTCTAAAAGAGAGCGGTAAAGAGGACGTGGGTGCAGGGGGAGGAGGAAGGCGGGGAGGGGGAGAGGAGGGATACGTGTGTCACAGCTTACCTCAGAGCCAGAATTAGAAGCTGGGTAAAAAAATAAAATCACAGCAGGAAATAATGTGTGCCTTAAAATAGCAACGTCAAATGGGAGCGAGAATGGGGAGTGGGTGGCATCTGAGGTTGCTGCTCTGTTCCTCCCTCAATGGCAGGGTGATTAATATGTCTACACTACTTGTGTTTATGTAACAAAGGGCACTAAAGGCCAAAGCTGCGTTTTCACTAACAAACACTGCAAGGGAGTCTGTGAATCTTTTCTTCCCCCCTCCATAGCATTAAGTGGGAGGATCTGCACTCACGCTTCCTGCCCCAGAAACACAAATAACCATCACCAAAAATCCATGCTCCGGCACTGCACGCGCAGATACGTTTCCACGCTTGGCACAGCAGCACAGAGACCTCTAAGGCTTTGAAGGCATCCTTCTATCTTTCATGGCTCCCCACAGAAAGAGCCTGTTCCCAGAGCACACCTGTAAATGTGGTCGGGTTGTCTCTGGCTGGAGGCTGTGTTCTAATAGCAGGCAAGGTACCACACTGCGTGTTACTACACATTTTTGTGCTCATACTCTGTATTTGCAGTGAATCATAGATCTCTGAGATGGGTCATGCAGTCCATTTCCTTGCCAGCGTAGGATTGTTCCCAGCCATATACTTAATCCCTCACATTTCTCTTGGGAGACGATGACTCAGACTGATCGGTCTTCTCTCTCCACACCTTGTACCCTGAGAACTGCATTAAAGACTGGCACTCACTCATGTGTTTTGGTAAGGAAAGGACGTTTCTCTTGGGTGCATCAAGAAATATTCAACCCACCACATCACAGTTCACAGATGATGCTGAAGTTACCGAGCAAAGCGGCCAAGGGAGGTATGGCACTTGTGTTTTGGACTGCTGCGATCTCCTCTGGACTAATAAGCAGAACAGGCTTGCTCTGAACTTGCAGACAAAGGAGACCTGGAAAGCATCCCAAGTGAGCCCCGTGGGGTGCATGAAGCTCGTGTCTCAGTACCTCCCCTTCATCCCTTCATCCAAAAGGTGGTATGCTACTACAGGTCACCCTTCCCATGTCTGCTCCACTCAGAAAGCAAAGGCAAGAGCAGAGACCTCCCTTCACCTGCACACACAGCCTAAGCCTGCACCCTCTCACAGTCACTGCTCCTACCAAAATACCCATTTGCAGATATCTGTACACACAAATAGCACAAGACCGAGTTTGCTGTGTGATAAAAACCTGCTGTACAGGTCTGATTCTGATACTCTCTGACATCAGCAGATATCTTTGACATAAGCTGGGCTGTACTGCTGTCAGGGGAAGGAGAATCTGGCCCAGATCTGATGCACATCTTCCCACAGGCAGGCAGAGCAGCACGATTTGTTTAAACATGGTATGCTGGTGGTGCAGACACAGATCACTTCCAGCAACTCCATCAACATGTATAATATCCTGCTAGTTAAACCCAGCCGAGGTAAATATCTCCACCATGTTATCCCTCCAAGCAAATATAGTACCTGTATGGAAGAAATTCCTTAGAACATTTCCTGTCTGGAGCTGAAGCTTGCCAGGGACTGAATTTCCTGTGAGGCTACAGTTGGGAATGCAAAGCAAAGAAGCTAACAACAAAATGAGATGGTATGTACTTGAACCTGCTCTACACAGATCCTCCTCAGCAAGCACATTCTCCCCCTCCCCATTTAGATAAAAATGAAGTGCTTTGATTTTCCATATCACCTGGGTCATTTTTCATGTGCAATTATTATTTTTACCCCCCTGCCTCCTTTCTACCTCTTTTTTTCCAGCTGCAGTTCTGTGACTTACACATCCTGAAAATGAAAGAGATTGTTTTTGCCAATAGCAAAGTGCTATGCATCCTTTCAACCATCTGGAAATGGATTTTTTATTCTTCCCGTCTCCCAACCACACATGCACGTGCACACACACAACCAAGGCTTTGTCTCTTGGAATCATTTCCCGCACCGAAGCTGATGGCCATGAAAAGAATTCAATAAAAGAAGTCCCACAAGCATTAAGAGGCCGAGACAGAATAAACAGGCTGACTTCCTGGGCACTTGTTCTCATCCAAACTGCCACCTCACGAGGAAGTGATGAATGCAATGGAGCATATGGTTCAGTGGTTACAGATTAAGAGAGGTACTTAGGGCTCCTGTGTTTTCATCCTGGCTTTGCTATAAATCTTTGTCACTAACAGCAACTTGCCTACCTGCCTAGTGCCTAACCTCCCCCAGCTATAAATAGGGTTACAGATATTTTCTAACCCCTTGTGATGATCAATGTGCTCGTGTTTGTAACGTGAGCTGATCTCCAGAGATAAAGAAGTAATCTGAAGTGAAAATTGCCATGGTAGCTATATGCTGAGACTAATAGAGTCAAGCAGGACAGTCTGGGAACCAAAGACTAGACTTGATCATCTCTTGCCCAGAGGCAAATGTTAAGTGAGCTATGTCACCATGCTATCCGGATGACTGCAGGTCTGCAAGAGACAAAGAAGAGCCAGAGCCACACTGACTGGTACAAACATGCTTACGGTGTCCAGCTGAGAATGAGTAACAGCTGCTTGCTCATCATCCTGATTTCTGTCACTACTAGTGTTTCTGAACGCTGAAGTGTCCCAATGCTGTGACTCAGGGTTGTGAGTCATGGGGCTGCATGTCTCTACCGCGTGGAATCACTCACTTGCTCTCTCTGATGAGACTGCAGAAATCACAGATCATCTTGGGTCTCCTATACTGGTAAGACTTAAAAATATAGGCAGATATTTACAAACACGTCCAGACCAAAGCCTCCAGTGACTGTCTATCTGGGATTCATATTAAGAAATCAGTTTCACATACACCCCCCATCCAAAAAAAGCTAGGAAAAGTGAAGCATTTTTTTCCTTCTGTGGACATTTAATTCCTATATCCCCAAAGCTCTAGTAAATCTGGACTAAACAGGATGCAGTGCAGGTAGCATTCAACTTCTTGCTTCCCCTGCTTTTACCAGTCACGCATTTAGACCTGAAATGCTGACAGCAGGGCGACACAATGATTTTTGGCACCGCATCTGCCTCATCCTTGTCCCAGCTCTCCAGCCTTCCTGGTGAGGAAGCTTTGATCTAGCAGCGTTCTCCTAACCTCAGCGCTAGGCTGCAATTAGCTGCACACAGGGCTGCAGTGGGAGCCCTCTGTGAGCTGGCTGGCAAGACCTCAGAGAACACACCAGATACACCACAGGTATCATCAAGAACTGTGTTGACCACGTACAATGCAGTGGACAATCTTCCCATCTGCAGACTGCAACAGCAACCGGCTGCATGTTCCGGAGCTCACCTCCAGTTTGTATAAATTCCCTGTTGATACAGGTGCAGCTGAAATGGCCACTGCTTCCTCTTGGGATGAGGGAGCATCATCTCAGCACTGAGGTGCAAAGCCCTGCGTGATCTCACCGGCTGGGAACCTCCTGTGCTGCCTGCCCATACAGCCCCTAATCAGCGAAGCGGAGGCCCCATGCTGACAAGAGTGGGATTGCCGATACTCCGCTAGTGGCAGCGTGGTTTGTGTTGGCAAAAGAGTGTTTCTGTTGGCATATGCCTCTTCCCTGAACTGATTAAGTCATGCCTGTTTTTGCAAGTATCTCTGCAGCAAGGTGTTTTGCTGGTGTAAAGATGTGGTAAAGAACCACTGTCCCTGCTCACAGCCAGGTCCCCGAAAAGCAGGTAAAGAGCTACGATGGCAACCTCTCTGAGTGAGCTTTCTGTGTGCTGAGACAGGGTGAGTGCCCTTATACGTCTGAACTCATGCAGACAATCACCAAGATCCGTAGTAGGAAAGCAAACACAATGCTCTGAGCACAGGGACTCCCGAGTGATAGGAAGTGACTTCAGCACACCAATTCCTCTGTTCCCGTAACTCTCTGTGGGTTTGCCAATAATCCTTATCGGCCTTGCTGAGAAAGGAGTGCCTTTGCTAACTGATTACATCCTCCTTTCCTTACTGTGGTCAGCCAGTTGCTGCATGCCAGAAACAGCTGGTATGATTGATAGATAAGCACATGTCTCAATGTATTTTCCTCTGTCTGCTGTAACCACATCCATCCCTGCAGCCACTAGAAGGCAGTTCTAGAAAGGAGTGAAACAACACAGAGCAGTTTTGTTACCAGCACTGGTTTTCTAGAAACACTCATCCAGGGAATCTCAACCTTTCCCATATTTCCATACAAAACACTGCAGGTCTCCATGAAGGAAGGCAGGGTGGTCCCAAACTTCCACCTCTCAGCTAGCATCCATGCCTCGCACTGATGCAGGGTCAGGTCTAACAACACAACTAACCAATGTGCAAAACCAGACTCTTTGAGGACAAGCATGAATGCTTTTTTATCCCATTTTGGTTAAAGCTTTGTGTACCTGGAATTTAACATTTTTTGATAGCTTGCAGGCATTCTTCGAATGCAGTAGCACAGTTAAGTAATAAAATGCTTCAGAATCCTCTCTATTCTGAGTAAATCACCCTCTTTTAAGTAGCACATCCTAACAAAAGGCATGTCAGGCCAAATTTCTCTTCAATTTGAGTCACAGGAGTGACATCAGAGATGGAGTTAGCCCTGCTTGTTAGGTGACTCGAAGATGCCCAATTTTATTTTATGGGGTTTCGTTCTATACTAGTTCCTGGAATCTGTTTTGTAGACACAGCCCTTCCCTTGCTGTTAACTCACACCATAAGGTGGGCAGGGAATTTCACACAGCATCTTCTTTGACCTTTCTGGTACTGAGATGATTGCTGCTGCTGTTTTGGAGGCTTCTGAGAAGCTCCCACAAGCTTTTGTCCCCCTATCTCCTGAGCTGCATCTGCAGCATCCAACCACAGTCCCTCCGGAGGGCAGGCTGGCTCTCACAGTGACGACACCGCACTCTTAATTTGTTCCAGCCTGTTTCACACTGACATTTTCGCACTGACGTCACCAGCTGCTGAAATTTCATTGCTGCTGCTAAGAATAACAGCCCTTCTCATCCCCCACCTTACTCCAAATAATTAGTTTAATACAGTAGGGATCAAGGCTTATCTTCTCTGACACAAATCAGGGTCTGGTGGTTAAAAGAAGTAGGAACCAAGCAGTGTAGATGCTTGTGTGTTCTGTCAGCCTGGGACCAAAAAAAACCCAACCAGGAGTGTGTTGTTAGGTGGTAAGCGCGCTATAAAACATAATGGGAGAAGTTCAGACTGATTTAAGGCTCTCTCACCATACATGCTTAGGCACTGCGAATTGCTTAAATAGCCTAAGCTACAGTTTGCCTCACAAGTCCCTCATAAAGCCCCTTCCCAATTCTCCAAGGCTTTGTACCTTGAATATTTGCTTATACTGGTGCAGTGCAGGCATAAAATACTGCCAAATCCAGATTTCCCATTGAGTTTGGGGCCTGAACCAAATCCCATTGATTTCCGTGGGAGGATTTCTATTAACTTGAATGGGCATTGAATCAAACCTAAATTGGCAGTGCTCTGCAGCCATTTGGCATAGTGTAGTTGTCTGCATAAGGTGGAGAATCAGGTCCAAAGACACTAAGAAATGCTTTAATTAAGAGTTTTACCAAGGAGAGCGAGATTTTCCATCATTAATCCGATAAACTGAATTTGCTCTATACTTTTAATGGCAAAGGGTCAGGGTTTTCAAGGATGCCTGGGCTGAAGATGGAGCCGAGTGCTTATGGGGTTTTAAGGAATGCTGAGGAGTCTTTCCAATCAACAGGTCTGTTCAGTTACTTACACCCTTTGAAAATCCTACTTCTAGTTTGGGTAGCCTTATAAATCCAGTCATAAGAAACCTGCCCCCTGTGGCCCTTCCTCATAGATGGAGACCGTCACCTCTGTCAGATGCAGCCACTCATCCGCAGTCCCTCCTGGTCAGAGGTGATAAAGGCCTTTATAAACCAGACACAAGGAGCCCTGGAAATGTTATTTCCAACCCCTGCTGGGGAAGTTGGTGGCCAGCACAGCTTCCGCTCCAGAAGCGGACCTGAACCTACACAGACCAGCATCCGGTCAGCAAGAAAAGTCTCAACACTTCTTTGTTACCACTTCCCCATCAACTCTGAGGTCCGGCATCATTTCCTATGCTGCTGCTGACCCTCTCAGGCACCTTCCTCCACTGCTTGATCTTTAGAAACAGCTGCATTCATTATCTCCGCATGTCCCTTTACTGCAGAATAAGGGAAGTTTCAGGATCCTTTGGCTTCTTGGCTGGAGTGTTTTGCCTAGTTATTATTTTGAATTTGGACTTGAGTGCTTGGCATAGTCTTTTTCTGGAGAGCACAGAGATTGGTCACAAGACAGGAAAGAGACATGTCTGCTCTGAAATCCCAGAGGACAAGAGAGGGAAGATGAACGCAGCACTGTCACACTGGGACGCCTTCCCCTGAAGTGCAGAGAGGGAAGAGATCCAGAGAAGGTAGATGCTAGAAAGGGAAGGAAAGCAAAGAGAAAGTGAAAGTGCTGTTCAAGCCGAGCCTTGAAGATGAAGTAGAGGAGTGCAGAATGTCTCCTCCGACCCCTGGCAGCCATTCTTGCTTGGCCCGAATCAGTCAGCCAGGTCACATGCTGCTAGGCCAAAGGAGCATATCTCCGAGCTGACGTGCCTCTCCCAGCAGACGTCAGGATGGGCTTGGCTGAAAG